GGGGGGTGCGGGCGGCTGGTTTGGTGATATGAGTGTGTCAGTGGCTGTGGCTGTGGCTGTGGGTGTGTGCGGGGGAGAACAAGGGGTGAGGCGCAATCATTTCCACCGAGTGAGTAGCGTTCTGCCTCAGCTTACGGCAGCGGAACCGTGGTTAAGGCCAGATGAGACCATCCACCCCCCTGTGTGCGAGTGTTGCCATGACAACGTAGCAAATCTCTTTTTAAGATAGCGTGAAAAAGGACCCCCCCCCCGCCCTCCTCCCCTCCCACTCCTTCCTCCTCTCTCCTCCCTGACAGCTCGAGAATCGACAGCTCACACCGCGGGTACAGGAAAGGCTCCAGCCCAGAATATCATCCTCTCTGTAAATGAGATTACAGCGGGAATGACGGGGTGACAGATATATTTATATATATTTTTTTATTTTTTGTATGTTTGGATGGAAAACAGAAGATCAAGTCTTCTGTGTGCAGGGATATTATTTTTAAAAATCTGAAGGACAGAGATGCGTGGGTCTGTAGCAGCAGTTCAGCTCAAAAGGCTTCAGTTTTGATACTTGACCTCAGCGAAGTTAGAAGAGGAAAATATTTTACAAAAGTTATGGCGGCAGCAGAGCAAACATTTTGTCTTCTGTTTATTTATGAAAGTAAAGTAAAAACATTTTTAAGTGTTTAATTTTAATCGACTTGTATTTTTTTGTCAAAGACTTGAGTCAACGATCTTTTCTAAGATGAAAACTAAACAGGAAGTTACATAAGGCTGAAAGACGGTGACGAATATTTATTGACACATTAGTCTACTAATAACAATGAGTCTTGACAAAGTTGGGGACGACGTCCAATCAGCGCCGAAATCGTCATAAATGGATGGTACATGAGAACGAGGGCCAATCAAAGCTGTAGTTGTTGCTAAGAAGGCGGGGCATCTAAACGGAGACCCAATCAGAGCGAGCGTGTGTCCAGCAGTAGAAAAGAACCCGGTAGTCGGCAGTTAGACAAGAGCGGGAGTTTTATATATATTATAGATCGAAACATGTCGAGTATTAGAGATATGTTGTTATTTTACTATTGACGTTAGTGAACTTTGAGAAGTTATCCAAAGATCCTGAAATTCACACAAAGGTAAACATACGGAACAGAGTAATGTACTGTATGTCTGTGTTTAGGTCAATAAATAATATAAAACTCTATAATTCATTGTAATATAATAATCATATTTTCAATGAATAATTAGAATTAAAATTCCAAAAAGCCCATTGCTCAGTTGTTAACTAAAAACTGGGTTTATATAATAGAATATTATGACTTCCCCAAACCATGGACAGAGATTCACAAACCTTTAAATTGAGTGAAATTCCAGGTTGACTTTTAAGGGTGAGGTTTTCTCTCTCACATCTGACAGTTTCTGTGCTTTTCAAGATGGTTTGGAGGCTGTGAAACAAGAACACAGGATTGTAGGCCACACTCTGTACACGTCAACAGGCCACGCTTTGTTTTAACCATTTTAACATGTTTTTGTATCCATGTATACAGAATGGTCCGACAGTACCATGTGTTGGACTGAAGATTCTGCGTCTTCTTCTCCCCAAATCCCGAGGAGATGAACTTGGAGGTCAGCTCGTCCACCTCCCCGATGACAATCACGGCAACGTCTCCATCTCGGCCCAGCAGCCAGCTCACACTCTTATCGTTGGCTGTGGAAACCAGAGAAACGTTGACATAAGTAGAGTGTGAGGCTACGTACGTCACAGAAGGTAATCTGTAACCTAGACCTAGAAATATCAGAAAATAAAATCCCACTCTGACATGGCTGACGCAACGTCCTCATGAGCTCAGTATATGTGATCTCAGGATTGTACTAGAAATCATGTCATTTCCTTAATGTAGTCTGAATGATCAGGTAGAGGTGCAAGAAAATATCGATGCCATATTGTGATATTTCCTCTCCTGATCCTGTATCAATCTCCTCAGTCATTGATCAGTTATTGATTTTTTTCTCCCCAATTCCCAGTCCAATATTGCTGGTGTTGGTTCATGTTCTTTTTCATGTTCTTCACCTCATCGTGACTATAGTATCATACTATATTGTGTATTGTGCCCCTGTATTGTTTATGTATCGTGTTCTTGCCCTATTATCAGGACAGAGATTTCAAATTAGTAAAACCGTATCAGTATGAAAACCCCTGGGCAGAGATGTTTTCATATAGTGTCTTGTGACTCTGTGTGTGTGCGCGCGTGTCCGTGAGCTCAGAGAAACTTCTTCTTCAGAAACCTAACCGTGCTGACAGCAGCTGTGAGGGCACGAGCGTGTTGTGCTGCAGGAATCAGGATAACATGCTCTGAGTGAACTGGTTCTGCCAGCCTGCCCTGTGGATCACATTCCAGCAGACCAAACTAGGATGACGGTGAAAACACAGCAGTCACAGCAGGGCTGGTAAACAAGCTGACAGCACCCGGTGACAGCTTACACCCCTGTCAGGTGCAGCTGCGATGGATCCTGTCAGCTGACATTTTTGATGGCTTGCACATGACAATTGTGTTGGCACATGCCCCTGGCTGTGCCGCGGTGGACGCCTCACACACGCTATTAGGTGGATAACAATAGTCTAATGTCTTAGTTAGTGTGTGTGTGTGTGTGAGAGAGAGAGAGGACGAGGGTTTGTGGAAAGAGAGAGAGTCGTTAGATCAAAAACAAACAGCAACAAAAAAAAACAATTAAAAAAATCAGGATATTTAACTGATAACCACATGATTATTTTGTTTGTTTTGCAAATGTGCATCTCTGTCCTGCTAACTGGAAGGTCAGGGGTTCAATCCCAGATAGATGGTAAACACACAGGGACGTGTGTACCATTCTTATTTATATGTGTAAACACGTGTGACGTCAGGAGACTGATATAAATCGCATTTAAAATATAATGTCAAAAATAACGCAAAATTAAAAAAGAAAAAGAATTGAACAACAACGCGTGCAATGTTCAGAGGAGCCACTAGAGGGCCTCCCATTACAATCAATGGTAGGTGGTAGAGTGCCGCTGTTTTCATGTCAGGTTTACAGTGTGAACATTATGTTGTTTAAAGTGTTTAAAACATAAAAACGTAATGTATAAATACAGAACCTTTTTTTGTTTAAAACATCCAAAAAAGTAATGTATAAATACAGAACATTTTTTCTATAAAGATCCTGAACCTAAAGTAATGTAATGTATAAATACAGAACCTTTTTTTCTATAAAGATCCTGAACCTAAAGGTGGTTTATTATCAAACTCTGTCCAGATTGAATTGTTTTTCCAACACGTACACTTCCTGCACACTTCCTGTTGTGCCCCCTGCTGATTGTTTGAAGGATATAGCCTTAACTCACTTCCTCTTTTTCTTTTTTTCTTTTTTCTTTTAAACACACACAAACAGTCACACCAGTCATGCCGCCTGTTCTCCAGACATGGTCATGTGACCACACGTGTCCCCTGAAGGACAGCTGCGTCGGTCATTAGGAGACAGACAGAGCAGCGTTGTCCCCTCACACAACAGCTGACAGAGACCACAGTCTGACCAATCAGAGCAGAGTATCAAACACAGCTCATGTATATACTGCACTACTTTTGTCCACTGAGCCACTGAACTGGTTCATCAACAGATCCTTGTAAGGACAGGATGAAGCTGAGTAACAGTACAGTTACAGTAAAACAGTAGAAGAAGAAGAACTCGCTGCCACCACGGAAAAAATGCAGAGGAGCGAGTTCCTGCAGTCTGTGGAACCAGTTTGGACTGGGCTGCAGCCTCCTGGGTTTCTGCCCTTTATTTTTCTTGGGGCTGTTTTGACGACATGTCAACCACAGTCACCGGAACAGAAGTCACAGCCTGACAAACCACTCATCTACATCCTGTGGGTTTTTTTCTCATGTGATGTCTTCACACATCACCGATCACACTGGTCTCTTATTGAAAGGATTCTTTTATATTTTGATGAATTAATCTGGTGAAATAAAAGAATATTTATAAAGTAAATACTTGCTTTTGAAAGTCTGATAGTACTATTAGTATTGTTAAAGTATGACAATACTACTTCACTGTGGTATGTATCTTCAGGGAATATTGTTCTCCTCTTTGTCTTCCTGTCATGTCAACATTGACTGGCGGCGTACTTCTCATTAACTATGTTTATTTTTAAATAGTTTTCAAGGAGTTCCAGTTAAACACAACGTCAGTGATATTTACCGTCAGGTTATAATTAGGTTTGGTTCAAACACTGCATCGTCACCTGGTTGGTGTTTGTTTGAACAGTAATTAAAGTTAAGACAGTTAAGTAGTTGAGTTGAGACAGAGTTTGAGGAGTTGAACTGTTGTCAGACACAGTCAGAATCTCTTCACTCAACAACAACAACAACAACAACAGTTCTAAAGTTTTCTCCACTCCAGTAAAGACCGAGTCAAAAACTGGTTAAAATTTGATAAAAACATTGGTAAAAAAAACAACCTAAGACTTAGCAGTAAATATTAGGGGTGTGCCAATTCATCGAATATTATATTAATCTCGATGCGACACGTGACGATTCGATTACGATTCATTAATGTTCAAAAACGATTTATTTTTTATTTTGCATAATAACAAAATGACAGGAACAAAACCGCTGCTCGCGGAACGATAGTAAAAATGGCGCGTGCCGCCGGGACACCTGAAGGAACGGACCATAAACAAAAAAAGAAAATGTCGGTAGGATTCACTCAACATAACTTCAAGCTAGCGTTTGGAAGCAATTTTTATGGATATGAAAATGGGAAGTGTATTGACAAAACAATATGTAAGGCGTGTAAAACTAGATTTAAGGATAGTAGTTTACTCCACGGGTTACGGGAAGAGAAGAATCCGCCGGTTGTTGCTGCTAACCCGCGAACAATAAAAGAAGGATTGTCCAAATGTATCGCTAAGGATCTACGCCCATCGTTGACAACCAGGGCTTTCGTGCAGATGAGTAACTATTTTCCCTCTATGTCTCACTTTCATGCCCGGGCATGATTTAATTCACTGTATTCTTTTATCCATGTACCATTTATTCAAAACCCCAAATTCCACAGGTGTTATGAGGGCTGACGGTGAAGAATAAACTGGTTTGTTGTGGGGTTGATGCTGCTCATCGAGGATTCTGTTTGGAAGTCTTTATTTTTTTACTGAATAAGATAATTGGGGTTTTTTATTTATTTGAAAAGTATTGCTTTTGACAGTAAATGTTTTGCAGTAACCAGTTAACTGGTTGTGTGTAAGAGCAGCTCATTTGTTGATTTGACACAAATAAAAGATAATGGAAACAGATTTGTTTGTTTTCCTTAATTAATGAATACTGACAAATATTACCTTGTGAAAAACTATGAAGTAGTCACAAAGTGAGGAGGGGAGTAATAATAATAATAATATCGTGATAATCGTATCGTACCATCCTGAATCGGAATCGAATCGTGAGGTCCTTTAGAACGCACAGGCCTAGTAAATAGTCAAGGTTGTTAAAAGTTAGCTGAGATGCTAGTTAGTTCAAAGCTGGCCATGGCAGATGGATAAATATTGACCGGAGCAGATCAGTTCCAGTTCCTCCGGTCAACACCCGCCCTGGTTTTCAGTTATTTTTAGATGGAGTTTTTTTTTAGGAGAAGTGAAAAAGTCACTGGGTTTTTATTAATGCTGCTGCAGAAATACCTCAAACAGTAATGACATAGTATTAATGTTAATGATACTGTTTCCTACAGCAGCCCTGGTACTTTCCGTGTATGTGCCTGGTACTTTGTTTAGTCATGAACTAAAAGTAATCTGAAGTGAAAAACATTCTGTTATTGGTGACAGACAGTTGATCAGTGACTATGAACAGTACCAGTGACTATGATCAGTACCAGTGACTATGATCAGTACCAGTGACTATGATCAGTACCAGTGACTATGATCAGTACCAGTGACTATGATCAGTACCAGTGACTATGATCAGTACCAGTGACTATGATCAGTACCAGTGACTATGAACAGTACCAGTGACTATGATCAGTACCAGTGACTATGAACAGTACCAGTGACTATGATCAGTACCAGTGATTATAATCAGTACCAGTGACTATAATCAGTACCAGTGACTATAATCAGTACCAGTGACTATAATCAGTACTTTTAAACACACAGAGGTCTTGTTTGGGTGTAAACATGACTCAGCAGTTTACCGGGTCAGACATGGTGGAGGTCACAGCTGGCGTGCGTCAGCACCGCGTCTGAAACTTTCAAACCTGCCTAATGGACTTCTGGGTAAACACTGGCTGCGTCTCCAGACAGCTGTGTCAGATGATGGAGGAGGAAGAAGCTCCGACACCGGGACGACAACACGTCGAGTCAAAGGACTCTTTGTCTGAACCTCTGGACTAAAGGACGCCCGTCTCTCTGACGTCCACCGACACCTCACTGACTGTGCCGGAAAAACTTGAAGCTGCGCCCTGACTCAGCACACACACACACACACACTCACACACTTCACCAGGCCGACGACCTGATTTGACTTCAACCCCCTGTGGGCTGCAGGTCAGGGGTCACAGGGTCGAGCCAGCGTCCGGTCATGTGACCAAATCAAATCAAATAAAAGAAGAAAGAACGTTTTCTCACCGACGTTTGAAGACGAGAAGCTGAAGTTTGAGGATGAAGCTG